CCTGTAATTCCCTGGCTTGACTTTACTATCTTTTTTAAACAATGGAACAACATTAACCACCCTCCAGTTTTCCGGAACTTCACCAGTGGCTAAAGATGAAGCAAAAATCTCTGCAAGGGCCTCTGCAATTTCTTCCCTAGTCTCCCACAATGTCCTAGGATGGAATTGATCAGGCCCAGGGGATTTGTTCACCTTAATGTGATCTAAGGCTGCAAACACCTCCTCTCTGGTAATATGTATGCAGTCCAAAACTCCCCCACTTGTTTCCCTTAGTTCTTTAGCATCCATGATTCTCTCTTTAGTAAACACTGAGAAGAAATAATTATTAAAAATCTCCCCCATCTCCTGTGGCTCCACACATAGATAGCCATGCTGATCTTTAAGGGGGCCTATTCTCTCCCTAGCCACCCTTTTACTCTTAATAAAGCTATAGAACCTCTTGGGATTATCTTTAACCTTACCTCCCAGATTCATCTCATACCCACTTTTTGCTCTTCTGATTTCCCTCTTAAGTGTGCTCCTACACTTTTTATAGTCATCTAGGGATTCACTTGAGCCCGATAGCTTAAACCTAATGTATGCCATCTTCTTTCTCCTGACCAGAGCCTCAATATCCCTCGTCAGCCAGAGATTCCTAAACCTGCCAGTATTTCCCTTCACCCTAACAGGGACATACTGTCCCCGGACTCTTGATATCACAAAAGTCTCCCATTTGCCAGTCATTCCTTTTCCTTCAAACAGACTCACCCAATCGACCTCTGCTAGATCCTGCCTCATGGCCCCAAAATGGCCCTGCTTTAGTTTAGCACCTTCACCTGTGGACCTGTCCTATCTTTTTCCATAACAATGTCAAAAAGTGTTTTGAGCATAATGAGAGAACATGTGATATAGTTTACGTAACAGGAATAAAGGAGTCTACATTACGCACCATTAGAGACAATGCAGAAAATATTAAAGCTGGAACAAGTCTGAGTGCTAGCAAATCTGTGAGGTCACGGACTAAGGAACTTGGGGAGATGGAGTGACTTCTAAATGTGTGGATAGAAGATCAAACAAAGAAGCGATCTGGGACCACTTTTCTGACCATAAAAAATAAAGCATTATCATTTTATGAAGACTAAACAAAAAAACCTGAAAATCACGCAGATGTGCTTGTCTTTAGAGACAGTTTGCTGGTTTTAAGAATGTTACGTTTTTCATAATATAAAGTTATGTGGGGAAGCTGCCAGTGCAGACAAGAAGCATGTGATGGCATTTCTTCCCATAGTAAAATAATTAATTGGCAAAGAAGGCTACAACTTAGATCAAATTATCGATTTGAATGAGACAGATTTATATTGGAAGCGAATGCCATCAAAAACCTACACTTCTATAAAAGAAGCACACACTCCAGGCTTTACGATGGCAAAGGATTGTATGACTGTGCTGCTGGGTGCCACTCCAAGTGGAAACTCAAAGCTTAAGCCTGTGGTGTACCACTCTGCCAACCCATGAGCCTTGAAAGGTTACCTTAAGTCTACCCCAGGCGTCTCCGTTAGGTCAAGCAAAAGAGGTTGGATGACGGAGCAAATTTTTTCTGATTTTATTGTTGATGTTTTAGAAGATATTTTTTGAAAATATTACAGGAAAAGAAAAATTTGGATTTCAAGATTCTCCTCATCCTGGATAATGCGTCAAGCCATTTTCCCACCATTGATGAGCTTTCTGAAAACATCAAAGTGCTATTTCTAGCCCCCAAAACAACCCCTCTCCTTCAACCCATGGGCCAGGGTGCAACAGCAGCTTTTAAACCTTATTATTTAAGGCACACATTTAAGAGGATGATTGCAGCCACTGAGGGGGATAAGAACAGTGTTCTTCAGTTTTGGAAGAGCTTTAACATCAAGAATGTAACTGACATTATCATGGAGGCCTGGGGTGATGTCAGTAAGGATTGCTTGCATGCATTTGGCAGAAGCTTCTCCCAGATTTTTTCAAGATTTTAAAACCTTTCATCCATCAGAGGAGCTCCCAAGAATCAAAGAAGATTGTATTGATCTTGCAAAGCACGTTGGATTTGAAGAAGTGGGGAGTGAGGATGTTGAACAGCTGCTTGAGTCCCACTGTGAAGACCTCTCTACAGCTGATCTACAACAACTTGTCACTGAGGGGTAAGTGGAAGCTGAAGATGAAGAAGATGAAGTCCAGGGTGAAGCACCACAAGAGCTTTCCACTTCTGTTTTGTCTTCTATCCTGAAGGAAATTGAGAGCAGTTGCAGCATTTACAGAACAATGATTACAATGCAGAACACAGCAGGGTCGCAATTAACGGAATAAGATCTTATTTGGCACCCTATGAACAGCTTCTGCGTGAAAGCAGAAAAAGGGCAAAGCAGCAAAAACTGGATGTCTTTGTTAAGCCAACTGCCAAGAAACAGTCAGAAGACAGTGAACCATAGCCATCCACTTCTGGATTAACTATTTTTCGTCCTAACCCTGCACAACTGCACCTGAAGGTGATCATGATGATGATGATGACGGCCCTCAGCCCCTGCATTAACAACACAGCAACCTCAAAACCTCCTCCCCCATCAAGTCATCTTGACATTTTTTCAAGATAAGGTGTTAAATTTACTTATATTTCATTATTAGATATGAATAAAACATTTATTCGAACTGTGCTATCCTTTGTGTCAGGCTTTTGAGTGATTTTTGAGCGATCATGAGTGATATTTTTTGGTGGTCTGCCCCTAACCCCGCTTTTCCCATAGACCCCATTATTTCTATAGTGTAATTTTTCTATAAAGCAATGTTGCACAGGGACGCAGCTATTGCATTACAGCAAAACTGACTGTACAGGGAAGTTATGACTCTGAACCAGAAAAATTGTCCACAGCAGATGACAGTTAGTATGTTGGAATAAATACTCCACCAGATGACACTTGAAACAATCTTGCTCGATTGCTGCCAGACCTGCTGAGCTTTTCCAGCAACTTTGCTTTTGTTCCTGATTTACAGCATCCGCAGTTCTTTTGGTTTTTAATCTTGCTCGATGTTGCTCAGTTCATTTTTTTGCGATTACTATCTTGATCCATCACCTCCAAGCTGATCCATGCTATTAAGTAACAATAACTTATCTATGCTTTATCAGTGCTTCAGATTAGCACTGTGGAGCTCCCAATGCTCCTGACCTCTAAATAAAGGCATCTGAAGGATCACTAGATAGAATATTTGTTTGGCAATACTAGTCAGTTATTGCCCTCCGCAATATAGTGCAATGATGTCAATTATCACCAGTTAACCTCAAGGTTAGATCTTTTATTTCAGACTCAACAAAACCCGGGATCTCCATGTTAAGTGTTGGCGTAAAAACCGCTGTGTCATGAGGACAACCTTATAAAAAAGATTAAAATGCATAGCCCAAAATAGTTTATGAAGAAATCTAAGTCAAAGGAATTGTTAGGCATATGATGATCACTTATCTGATAAGAAAGTAATATTTCAGTGGGTATACCGGCCCAGAGTTCCTGAACGTCTACTCTAAATCTTTAATAGAATCCTGACAATGAGCTGAATAGCCATTTTGACTTCATTCCTCTCAGGGTTCCACAGATCTTCCACCGAAGTTAGAACAGGAACCCCTTCACAATTGAGGGTTGTTCTATTGAATGTAAACTACCTTTTATAAGCTTTTTTTTTAATCGTAGAATCCCCACAGTATTGAAGCAGTCTGTTCAGCCTATCAAGTTCACATCAACCCTCTGAAGAGCATCCCACCCACACTCATGCCCCTACCCTAGCCCTGTAACTTTCCATTCTCCCATGCCCTCCAACTAGCTTGCACATCCCTGGACGCTATGGGCAATTTAGCACGGCCAATCCATCTAACCTGCATATCTTTGGACTGTGGGGAGAAATCGGAGAACCCAGAACAAACCCACACAGGCACAAGGAGAATGTACAAACAGACAGTCGCCCAAGGGTGAAATCGAACCCAGGTCCCTGGTGCTGTGAGGGAGCAGCGTTAACTACTGATCCACTGTGTCGCCCTGTTATTGATATAGATTAGTCTCAGTGTTAACTCTTATCTGCAATATTAACTCTCATCTTGCAGTTACTAGCTACGAAATTCTTGGTGTTCAAACAAGACACTAACTCTGCCAATTAGCCAATGACCGAGCATTATGGAATTGCACTGAATCAGAAGGTTTGAGACTCAATCTCTGGTCTGTTGAAATCAGATGGTTTGATCCCAGGCTTGCTATAAGACTGTGAAGATTGGCCTCGTAGCTGATGGTTCATAGGAGGAGGGAATTATTCAAGGTTACGGTTCATGATCATTTGAGATCATTATGGAAAATGTGAATGATGAAGGAAGATAGAAGCCAGCTTTGTTGTAACAATTCACACAATCAAATAACCCGTTAGTATTCAAGGTCTGTGTTCACATGTGAGGAATGACTAATGGGAAAACTGACGGAAGACTAACTGGATTACGACCGCATAATACTCGCTGCCTTCAGGACTGAAAATAAATAGGAACTCACAGGGGGCAGGAAGTGCCCATATAATTCACACAATGAATGTTTCCATGAGTAAATGTCTTTGTGAAGGAGTTGATAAGGTAGGTAAAGAGAGGTAGGGGAGTTCAGAACGATAGAGCAGAACTTTAAAATTAGAGTGAAGCCAGACAGGGATTGATGTCAGGAAGCGCTATTTCACTCAAAGGATTGTGGAAAACTCAATATTTTTTTCCTGCTGTAAACATTTCACTGTCCTCCTATACTTCTGTACTTGAGTACATGTGACAATAACGGATGTTGTATTCTTGCTCCCCCAACCCTCCCAAAACCTGCTGAGTTGAGGACAATTGATAATGTCAAAATTAACATTGCCCAGAACCAAGGCTGGAAGTAGAGTTTAGGTATAGATTAGCCAAGATTTAATTTACAATTGGAATCAGCTTGAAGAGATGAATGGCCTCTGGTTTCTATCATTGGCATCATAATATTCTTACATACCCCACATTCCTTCGCAGCTGCGGCCACGCGGAATAACATATTTTCCTCGACGAAAGGTCTCACTGCATCATGGATAATCACCACTTCAGGTTTCTGCAGCCAAGATCTACCAGGTTGATTTTCCACAAATGCTTTTAGCCCATTGAAAATGGACTTGTGACGTGTGAGTGCACCCTCAACAACTGTTGTTCTTGAGTGCCCATAACGCTCTATAATCAAATTCATCAATTCAAAGTTCTGCTTTGACACCACCACGACAATGTCTTTTATCCAGTGAACTCTGCAAAAGAAAAATAAGATGTATCAAGAAGCAACAAATACATTTCACAGAGTTGTAAACAAAATTAGTACTATTGTAGACATAACTTCATCATGAAAGCCAATTATAAGATTAACATTAGATTAATCATGTAAAGGTCTTCAAACAATCTTTTCAATAATCCTGACAGTATTTATGTAACTCTCAAAACAGCCAATTCCAGTTTTTGAGACCGCTATCTGAAAACCTGGATTTTCAGCAAGTCGGGATTTCTCAAAAGCTCTTTAAAATGATGGGTGTGTCCACTTTCCCAGGCTTTCCTATTTTCTGGAGTGCCTTATAAGGGGTGTGGGCCAGCTCACTCCATTAGTCCAAACCCTGCACATCACAAATGGCCACCAACATTGCAGAGACAGGCCAACTTTAAATGGGTCATGGTTCCTTGGTCATAGTCGCCTGATGTCACCCATGCCAAGCTATGCCTTGCCACCCACACCAAGGTGGACCCTCATGCTCCCATGTTAAGCCAAAGCACGTTGATGCACATTCACCTGCAATACACTATATTGATGCAATGAACCTACAGTAAGAGTACAAAGAGTAATAAAAGCTTGTTTAAAAGAGCAATTTTAGTGATAACTTTCTACCATGATAAAAGAATTTCCTATGGCAATAGAAGTGGCAATCCAATACCATAAACATCACTTTTTCCTTTATTCATTCACGAGATGAGGGTGTTGCTGGCTAGGCAGCATTTATTGCCTATCCCTAATCGTCCAGAGGGCAGTTAAGAATCAAACACATTGCTGAGGGTCTGGAGTCACATGTAGGCCAGACCAGGTAAGGATGGCAGTTTCCTTCCCTAAAGGACATTAGTGAACCAGTTGGGTTTTTCCGACAATCGACAATGGATTCACTGTCATCATTCGGTTCTTAATTCCAGACTTTTTTTAAAATTTAAATTCCACTATCTGCCATGGCTGGATTCAAACCCGGGTCCCCAGAACATTATCTGGATCTCTGGATTAACAGTCCAGCGATAATACCACTAGGCCATCGCCTCCCCTCAATACACTAAAACTGCAATGTATTTGAAACCTCTTAATCTTGTGTAAATAAACATTTGAAAATTGATAGCAGAGATCAGAGATACAGGACTACCAACCGAGAAAGTACGGAGGTGTTTCAAAAGAGTAATTGCCATCCCGACTCTCAGCCAATGAGAGGCCATAATGGGTGGGTGGGGGTGTGAGGTAGCACAGATGGGGCAAGGAGAAATATTCTTTCCTCTCACAGTACACAAGAACAAGGGAAAGATTATTTCCATATTCACCTTCTAAACTCCAGTGGACACAAACCTAGCCTGACCAACCTATCCTCATGAGCCATATCACTTCTTTTGGGTTAGTAGTCCAGTAAACCTACCCTGAGCTGACTCCTATGCATTTACATCATTTTTTAAATAAAGAATTCAAAATTGCACAGAGTATTTGAGATGTGGTCTCATCAATATCCTTTATAATTGAAGCATAACATCATTACTTTTATGTTTAATTCCTCTCATCACAATGAAAAACATCCTATTAGCCTTCTTGAATACCAGCTGCAAGTGCAAACTGACTTTTTATGACTCATGCTCGGAAACACCTACGCCCTCTGTACCTCCGAATTTGGCAGTCATTCTGAATTTAAGTACTCTAAAGACTCTGCTTTTTCATTCTTCTTTCCAACATCACATTTTACCACATTACACACCATCTGCCAGATTCTTGCTATTTGTTTGACGTATCTATATCAATCTGCAATTTCCTTCTGTCTTCTTCACAACATACTTTCCTCCCTTTCTTGGTGCTATTTGAAAATGTAGGCACCGTGCCTTCACTCTCCTCATCCAAATAATTACAAATTGTTAAGTCCCACCACAGATGCTGTCAACTCCACAAGTCACAGCCTGCTAATCAGATAAACATACACTCTCTATTTTCTGCCAACGAGTCAATCTTCTATCTCTGCGAATATGATATTCCCCAAACCATGACATTTCATTTTCGCAAAAAGCTTTGAGGTGACAATTTACCAAATTCCTTTTGGAGATCCAAGCACAGTACATCTGCAGCCTCCCCTTTATCCAGAGCACGTTATCCCTTCACCAAACACCAATAACTTGCTGACTCTTCCGATGTACCTTGAATTTTTTAAGTGTGCAACTATAATCTCTTCAATGATGAACTTTAACACTTCCCCGTGGCAGACATCAAGCTTGCTTGCCTATACAGGTAGTTCTCCTATAATGTGATAGTTGCGTTCTTGCATGAAAATCACGCCATAGAAAATTGTGTTATAGGGAAATCGCTATTAAAAAATTGCTACACCTGTATAGCAGAAACTTTGTGTTATCCAAACAATGTCCACTATTCATCAATTGCGTTACGGCCAATTCACGTTAATGAAACACACGTTATAGCAGAGCTACCTGTACTTTCCCGTGTACTGCCTCCTTCTCTTCTTGCTGTATTTGGACATGTAATATTTACAGTCAAAACACCCCAAAGTAATCAACTGCTTCAAAATGCTTTGGAATGCCCAGTTGTCATAAAAGGTAATCATTTTGAAACAACATAATTTTTCAGTCATCAAGAACTCCCAGCTATTCAATGAATTTTCTGATATTTCAGCAATCTATGTCTACTCTTTGCATGTTGCTCATATGTTCACTTTGCTGACTTGCACTCTACATTAATGTATGAAACTTACATGGATACAAATTAAGATCAGGAGTAGGCCACTCTGCCTCTCAACATTCAAGAGGATCAAGGCTGATCTGATTACTCCACATTCCTGCCTACCCACATAACCTTTCGCTCCTTTGCATATCAAGACTCTACCTACTTCACCCTTAAAAATATCCAAAGCTTCTGCTTTCACCACCTTTTGAGGAAGAGCATTCCAAGGACACACAATTATGTGCGAGAAAACAAATTTTCTTCAAATGCTAAATGGGGGAACCCATTACTCTAACATCTCCCACAAGAAGAAACATCCTTTTCATTGCACTCTGTCAAGACCGCTCAGAATTTTATTTGCTATCATCAAAACACCTCCTACTCTTCTAAACTCCAGTTGATACAATGTTAGTCTGTCCAACTTATCCTCAGAAGACAACTCATCTATTAAAGGTAGTGATCCGTTAAACCTTCTCTGAATGTTTTCAAAACATTTGCATCCTTCCTTAAATAAGGAAAATAATACTATTCACCGTATTTCAGATGTGGTAAAACCGAAACATAATTTTGCAGATTTATTTTTTCCATCTGCAAAAGATCTCATAGCTGTCATCATTGGTTTTGTTGTAAAAGATTCAGGTTTAAAATTGAGGGTTCAAGCCCAACTCCACAAATTTGGGTGAATGTTTGGACTGAAATTTCAGTATATCACTGACTGAATGTTGCACAATTGTAGGTCTAGTCTTTTAAATGAGATGTCAAGCTAAGACCTTGTCAGCCCTCTCAGGCACAAGACTAGACAACAGTATTTCAATCTAACAAAATATTCTCTGAGTAAGTCTCAACAGCAAATATAACAAGTTTAGGCTGTCTCAATAATTTAAGGCAGACGTTAAAATACAGGACAAGGACTAGCTGAAAACTGCTGAATAAATGTGCACTGAAATTCATGCCAAATAGATCAATAAAAAAGCATATTAAAAGGTGTTGAGGCACGCATTTATATCCTGAAGACAAAAATACATCACTGAGGAAACGAAATAAGTGAGTTATGTGTTGAGTTGCATATAAGTTACAGACAGAAATTGAAGAAGGATAGACATTTATCATCAAAAGGACATCAAAACAGTGGGTCATAATTTGTGAAATGTGGCGCACGGCTTTAGAGTGTCAAATATACACTGGGATAAAGACAGAAACTGCAAATTAGAAGCTGGGGATTTAATTTTCTCGGTAACAATGTTGTGCTGTTGAAGCTTTCTACCTATTTCATAAAGCCCTAATCTCTAGGCAAGAGACTCTTTTTTTACAAATATATATTTATTAGAATTGTGGACAATGGTCCATTGCATTCTTTAGAAACATCTGCATATATTAGAGAAAAGAGTGGATATCAGCTGCAGCAATCACAAGAATCCAAAAAATATAACACAGCTGAGAACTGAACAAACAAAGAATTTAGGAGACATTTGGCATACAAATTGGTGAGAAGACAAAAAAACACTACATGTGAAGTAGTTGATGTGAATTGTAATTACACCTCTGAGGTGAGGCTTAACAAGGAAGAATGGCAAAGAACGATAAGATTGAGGAGACAATTTTCATGGAAGAAGACGTATGTGGAGTATAAACACTGCAGGAGAATGGTGAGATAAAAGACCTGCTTCTACGTTGTTTCTAAAGCAGATTAGCCAATAAAATTCACCAAAAGTATCATGAAGACTGAAAATAGCTTCAAAAGTAGAAACTTGATGATCCTTCTAATATGTCGCTACACTGAAAGGTAGAAAATCAATTACAATATGAATGGTTTTACATATTCTAAATTATTTTACCGTTCCAAAATAACATGTTGTTTTAAAGATTTTTTTTTATATTGAGGGAAAATATTTTGGAGTAGAGGAAAATACTTCCAATTCTCTCCCAAAATAGGTTGCTTTCAAAATCTCTTATTTCTCTCTTGCGGTAGTGCTTTTAAAAGTAAGCAGTTAACCTGAGGCACTGGAACTGGTCACTGCAACCCTACTCGAGCGAATAAGTCATTGCCCCTGCTTCAAAACCTGTCGGGAAAAGTATGTTTAGAAAAGGCTACGAAACCTGTTGGGAACGTTATGTTGAGGAAAGACTTGGTCAGTTGAGTTTAGAAACAGATGGTTGACATCAGAGCAAAATATGACTAAGTCACCACCATCAGGAAAGGAAGGAGACAAGTGTAAAAAAAGGAACTACTCTGATTGTTACAACCCTGGTTCAAAGATACAGCATTGAAAAGCAAACGTTGCCATTACAATTTTACAA